CAAAAGAGTTTTTAGAGCAAGAAAACATAGAATTATTAGACCATCCGCCGTACAGCCCCGACCTAAGCCCTAATGATTTCTATACTTTCCCTAAAATAAAGAATAAATTGCGTGGACAGAGATTTTCATCACCTGAAGAAGCTGTGGACGCCTACAAAACGGCCATTTTGGAGACCCCAACTTCCGAATGGAATGGTTGCTTCAATGATTGATTCCATCGTGTGGAAAAATGTGTCGAATTTCGCGGAGAATACTTCGAAAAGCAATAAATACATTTTTAAATAGTAATGTTGTGTCACTTCTTTGATTCCCGAAATTTTCAGTGGCGCCCTCGTATGAGTTAACAGCATGAGCCCATATTATGTTGACACCACTGAGATAATATTATTATGACCTACGGTTACATCTGATTATAAACTGTAAGGTGTTATCGTGATAAAAAATTCCTGTACTATTATTTATTCTGTGGTTAAAGTCATCTATGACAGAGAAATACCATCGCTTTCGTTTCTTTTTTATAGAGAATATGATAGAAACTTGTAACGCTATGAACATTACTAACACTCGCGTTAACTCCAAGTCAGCTTAAAACGCTTGTTCACGGCAGTAGTCGAAAGGCAGATTCGAACCCACGATTTTCCGAGTTTGCAGTCCGCACTCTGGAGCATTATTACCGGTCGCTTTTATATAAGTTTTATGTCGTAATCAGTTTAACGTACGTTGACGTGTATTAATGTACATAAGTATAATATGCAATGTTGCCTTTATCTTTGTTATCCAAAAATATTGTACAAACGAAACAGACGTAATAGCAATTAGTTGTTAACGGTGACAAAACTACTTCTGTAGCACAGTTCTGATGGTCTCATTTGAATATTTCGTGATAAATTGTGAATAAACGCTCCTTTTCCATTAGCATAATTACCGTAAAATGGGGTGAATAGACACAACTTTCAACTTCTACACTGTTTTTCTTACATATTTTGTATGCAAGCTGATAATACTTACTGATAATACTTTAAATACTTTGATGTTGTGAGTCTTGTCGTAGTTTATCAAATACTAATGCTTCAAACGAGTAAAAACATGCAAATTCTTCGTATTTTAGAAAAAAGTAGTCGGTTTCTATATTCCGGGAATCCGGGGTGAAAAGAAACGACATAGGGGAGAATAGAGAAAAAATGCTAGGGTTGTCAAATGAAAGAAAACAACACTACAACAAAATTGTCATTATAAAAAATAATTAGTTAATAAATCTGATATTTATACATTAAAAATTCCATATTATATAAATTAAAAATATCAGAATAATGTAATTTAACTGCTTTGCAGCGTAAGCATTTACGACATAAAGCCATTAGATAAATAAGCCACTGCTTACATAGTTTTGAACATCTTTTCTTAAGTAATGAAAATAAAAACAAAAACTTTTAAACGTTAAACTACATAACACTAATTATAATACTACGTGTTTTGATTAATAACCTTTGGTTATTTTAAGTTGTTTTAAGACGAGATTAAAAATCACTATTACTTATTTATAAAATTATGTATGCACTAAACATAAATTGACACGGGACTTGAAGCTGATAACTCGCGTCAATACCCATTCCGTACCGCTTAGATACTTTTTTAACTCGTATACCGAGCATCTCTGTTAAACAATAAAATACAAATATAATTAATGATATATTTACCTACTAGATAGAAATAAACCATTTGCGCACACTAAGTATATTTACTGCAGGAACTTCTACCTGGTGTAATGGTAAAACCTCAAGTATTTGGAACTTTAATGTATAAAAAAATATCAAAATTTAACATTTATAATAGAAGACTTTTATATAATTTTAATATGGTTTAAACTTTTTTTAATTTTAGTTTCAATTAGCTACTTAAATTAATTTATGTAGTAAATAAATGGTGCAAATAGTTTTTGACAACCCTAAAAATCATGTCTCTATTAACTCCATTTACGTTTCTAATAACCTCTCATTCGTATCTATTCGCCCCTCAGTCGTATCTATTCACCTCGAATTCGAGAAAAAATACCAGTATCCTGATTTTACTATTTAAAAGAATAAAATCGTTCAATATCGATATTCATATTTATATTAATAATAGATGAGAACCTCAATACTCAGGTATACCTCAAAACTTGAAAACGAGACTGTACAACCAGTGCGTGTTGCCAGTGATGACATACGGAACTGAGACGTGGTCCTTCACTGCTGGCCGGATGAGGAAGCTCAAGGTCGCTCATCGAGCTATGAAGAGGGCTATGCTCGGAGTTTCTCTGCGTGATAAACTTAGAAATGAAGATATCCGCAGTAGAACCAGAGTGACCGACATAGCCCAACGGATTAGTAAGCTGAAGTGGCAATGGGCCGGCCATATAGCTCGAAGAACCGACAACCGATGGGGAAAAAAGGTTCTCGAGTGGCAGCCTCGTACCGGCAGGCGAAGTGTAGGGTGTCCCCCTACTAGTAGTAGTCTAGGTCTGGTTTTACATTTAATTTATTAGTTTCCATCCAAAATATCCTAAGATTATGTTCTATATGATGTGAAACTATGATATCCATTTTAATTCCGTCTTTATTATTTTGATTTAAAAATCTTCTGCTTTTTTTGCGCCCAGAAGCAATGTAAAGGGCTACTCTCCGGGAAGCGGGGGAGGGAGGTAGTGAATGCTCTAAGCATACCACGCTGCCGGCTCCGTGGTTATGTGGGACTCACTATGAAACCTAAGTGCCTACCAAACACCACCTGGGACTGGCTTTGGCCTGTATGGCCTTTCTGCCGAATCGGAAGCGACCCCCTTTAGTGAAAGGGGGCGCATTCTTCTACTTTCTACCATTTCATCATATATAGGCCCATAAGTAGGTCGGTTATATTGCAACCAGATATGAAATTTTAGCCTATGTGCGTTACTGTCATGCTTGTTCCACCCAGTTTTATAACGTTCCTATTTACTATTATGCCCACTCTTATCCTCTCTTGTTTGTTCTGCTGCCTCACTTAGAATATTAACAAAACTATTATATAACTTATCCAAACAAATTTTATGATATGAATTATTACAAAATTTATCACCACATTCAAAAAATTCGTCAGGAAAATGAATATTTTTAAATTTATTATTGCAAATCTCTGTATATACGTAGGTTACTCAATAAGTTTCGAGATATACAAAAAGTATTCTAGATACTATTAATATTTATTTTACATCTTTTCAAAATATTCTCCATCATACTCTATACAATGTACCATTGGCCTAAACCAACTCTGAAAACACTTTTGCCAGTCTTAATCTGACAGGTCGGAAATCGCTTCTTCGTAGGCAGCCACGGCTTCTTAGGCGCTTGAAAAAAAAACTTGCCTCTTATTTTTTCTTTGACTCTTGGGAACAAAAAGAAATTACAAAGAACTAAGTCAGGGCCGTAGGGTGGGTGACTTAGAGTTTCAACACCAGCTTCCTCAATAAATGCTTTTGTTCTAAGGGAGGTATGTGAAGAGGCGTTACAGCATGATGCAGCATGATTCCCCGAAGCCCGGTCTTTGATCTTCTCTCCCGCACAGCTTGAAAAGCTTTGGGTAATGCAACTGTAGTATACCATTCAGAGTTGACTGACCTACAATTTTCCAGCATTGACGTCGACAAATGTCCACTCCGCGAAAAAAAACTAGCCACCATTTTTTTGCCGACGTTGAGAGGTCTTTGCAGTTTTGTCAGTAACTGTCCTTCTGAGTAGACGCATGCTGATGATTGCCTTTTATTTTCCGGATCATATTGATAGATCCATGTCTCGTCACCAGTAACGATTTCTGAAAGACGCCTAGATGCCCCGTTTTCAAATCGTAGACGCATTTCATGGCACCAATCCACACGAGTCTGTTTTTCGCTTTCGGAGAGCAAAGGAGGGATCCATCGGCAACAAAGCTTCCTCACTCCAAGATGTTGATGTAGGATGGTATAAATGCTCCCCGAACTAATGCCTACAATCTTTTCAATGTCCGTATATGTGATTCGTGGGTCTTCTCGCACCAACATTTCAGTAGTCCATACATAATCTGCCGTTACTGATGTTTGCGGGGCCCCGGTTCTTTGGTCATCTTTAAGATTAATTTCACCCATTTTGAATTCAGCAAACCACTTAAAAATTGTTGCACGTGACGGAGCTGAGTCCATTAGTGTTGATTGTAATCGTTGTAAACTTAATGGTTCGGTTAAACCAAATTTAAAATCATAATATATCATAGCGCGCAAATGTTCACGGTTAAGATCCATCGTTTTAAATGAAAAGCGCGGGAAGTGTCGCAGGAAAATTAACAGAACTTTGTTTTTTTTTAATATTGAGCAACTGGCTTCTGGAGTTCTATTTTTAAATAAATTTGCTTTTTTGAAACATATAACATGGGTGCGTTCTATTTTTAAATTTCGAGCATCTCAAAACTTATTGAGTGACCTACGTACTTTAATTTGATCAAATTGTCTCGTCCCCCATATAACTTTACTATGTAAGTTATTTGAATTAAGCTACACTGTAGCCCTTATAAATTGTACATTAAGATTGACTTAACTTTTTTTTAAGATTGACTTTACTTATTTTAATACATGGGGAAATGCCTACGCATACCCGCCTCGCGGGGGCAAAGATGGTTATGTCGGACTCGCACGCACTATAACCCACCGACTAAAAAAAAACCCCATGGTTTTCCACCTACACAGATTTTCTTTAAAATTAAGTCTTGCTTGTATTCTCTATCGTTTTTTTTTTTGAAAACAATTAAATTTAAATCCCAATTTTTTTATCATTTCGTTGCTATTATGGAATTTAGTATTAATTTTAAAACGTAGCCTTAGATTAAGTAAGAATTTAAATTAGATACTGAATAACGAAACGTCTTATATTTTTCATTCGAATCGACAACTTTTTTCAAAGTTTCCAAAGTCTATATAGTACAGGAGTAGCCTTTTATTTTTATGTGAGAGTAAATTTTTAATCACACAGAGTCGGTTTTCCTTCGTTCAAGAGTACCGCCCATTCCAAAACATTGTAGATACGCATGTGAGGATTTTCATTTTTCACTATAAAAAATAATCGCATGTTAGTAAAGCTACTTGATTAAACCCAGTGTGATTACAATACTCTAAATGCAGTTATTTGTGGTGACACAGAACTATTTAATTTTGAGCTAAATTTGAAAAAATCCTCAATAAGGGCGATGACCTTCTCTGCCACCAGGTCGGCACCACTTAGAAATGAGATGAAAAATTTGACAGATTTCATAATGGGAGAAGTTAATATGTTAGAAAAGTGTAGATATTAATGTTTCTTTCTGAAAGATTAGTTATATTTTCTAATAATTAGATTAGAAAATGTATAAACCTTTTTTATATAGGATAAGGGTGACAAACGAGCACACAGTCCACCTGATGGTAAGTGGTTACTGTGACCCATAGACATCTACATCTATCCTCAATAAAGACTCAAAATGCAGACGCGTCGTCACCGTGAGGACTAAGATGGAATGCCTCTTTTCCAGTAAAATGGGTCTCCGGTTCTCTACACTCACCATACGAAACACAGTAGTGTCAAGCTGCCATTTTACGCTGGTATTCGAGCGAGCGTGGTCCCTCCTCGGCCGAGCAGACCCATTCGTGCTACAACTATACTACTAATACAGCTACAGCATGGCTCTACCACGTATTAAAACCTTACTACGGATATTCCTAAAAGTATCAAAAAACATTAAAAAGTGTAAATTTTTTTTAAAGAATAGGTACAATATAAACCGAAAAGTATGTAATTAAATCGTAAGTTTTCAATGATGATGACGCTGTGTGACCATCTACGTAACAAATAAGTTCACTTAGTCCCAACTAGGGACCTCATTCGACTCATGTTACGCGTTACCTTGATCCATTGTGAACATTGTGAACCGATTTTCTACCCACTTCAAAAAGGAGGAGGTACTTAATTCGACTGTATGTTTTTTTATGTGTATACCTCATAACTTTTTTCTGGGTGAACTGATTTTGGTAATTCTTTTTTATTTGAAAGCTGGTGCTTCTCATGTGGTCCCGTATAAATTTGATCAAGGTCTGACGAACAGTTTTTTGAGTTATACTTAATAATTTATATTGAAGTCAGTTGTACAAAATGTTTAATTTTAAATTATAATTATTCTTTTTTTAAATAGGTTATATTACCTCAAATGAGGTCCCATATAAATTTGGAGAATAAATTCTTCCCTTAAGTATGGGAAAATATCCTATAACCAAGCCCCTATAACCAATTTATTAAAATAAGAAACATTAATTTGGTTTACCATGGACGAAGATTTTGCGTCGATGTAGATGATAACCATCTCCTTTTTTGAGGTAGGCTTAAAAATTAGTTAAAACTCATTGCCTCCGATAGTTGACGCTATATTCATCTTATACGAGTATATGGCAAAATGTAAAATAAAAAGTTTAGTGAGTTGATTTGACTCGATGAGATGATGTTAAAATATCCAAAAAAAAGCCTTGTTTTACAAAATTTTCACGCGCTTTTAAACTGATGAAATAAACGCATTTTTAATAAAAATATGTGTTCTTACCGTGGACTCTCACAAACTCCTTTGTAGGCAAATCATATGGTTTCCATTTTGGTCTACCGAGACGGAAATGAGTTGTGGAGGGTATCCCTTTATAAAATTCCTACAAAGTTTATAATATTGATTATCTATTAGCATTGTAAAACATCGACTTCCGTTATAGCTTACTCCACCAACTGTCATGATTGTATTTTGTTTGCTGCGAATATACAAACATTTCTAGAGCTATCCCAAATTTATTTAAAAAATGGAGGGTGGTGCTACACTGTAGGGATATAGTCTCTTCCGCATGTTATGGTATATAATTTAAATTTTAAAAGTTACGTGGGAAAGACGGTTTAGTATGATTTGCATCGCGACGCTTCTATACACTTTTTTGATAATATATGGAAGAAGTTTCGTTTCCGCACCGTTTTCGTCCTAGTTAATATTATGTGCTACGTTAGCCGGGCCTAAGTTACTAGTCGTAAAGTGGTATGAATAAATCTCAACTTTTTAAAGGATACCATTACATAAAAGGTTATAAGCTTACGTCCATCAATGGGGATGGACTGTTGTTGGCGACAAAATAGTATAATAATTTTATACGTGGTAGAGAATAATAATTTCATACGTGGTAGAGCCACACTGCAATTATATTATAGTTGTCGCACGATGGGTTGGCTCGACCGGGGTAGGACCACGCTTTCATAGAATACCGGAGTAAAATAGCAGCTTATTATTGTCGTGTTTCATACGCTGAGGTTAGTGAACCGGAGACCATTTTTACTTCCAGTAACAACGAGGCATTCCATCTTAGTCCTGACAACACATCTTCATTTTGATTCTTAAATGAGGATAGATGATGATATCTATGGGCCATAGAAACCACTTACCATCAGCTGGACTGTATGCTTGTTTGTCACCTTTATTCTATAAAAAAAAATAGTAAGTAAATGTTAAATTTGATGTATTATCATAAACATCATCATTATAGCTAGTGACAACTCCACTGCTGAAAGTAGACCTCTAAGTAATGCCACAAAGCGTTGTCTTGAGTCACCTGTCTCCATCGGCTTCCTGTACCTCTTACCAGATCGTGACTCCATCTAGTGAAGGGACGACCTACACTTCGCTTACCGATACAAGGCTGTCACTTGAGGACCTTTTATCCCCATCGGTTGTCATTTCTTCGAGATATGTGGTCGGTACATTGCCACTTCAGTTTAGAGATCACTGGGGCTATATCGTTTACTCTGATTCTACTGCGGGTGCCCTCATTACAAAGTCTATCCGCATAGAGTACCTTCGAGCGTAGCCCTCTCTACTGTCAGCGGTGAAGATCTCAAATCCATATGTATTCACTGGTAACACGCACTGGTGTTATACTCTTGTTTTCAATTTGCAACATCAGGGGACTTCATTCCAACCTTAACGCTGTCCAATACCATCTAGAGACGGCGAAGCCGGCCTTGCTCTTTTTAACCGACACTCAGGTGTCATCTCCAGCTGATACTTCATATCTCTCCTACGCGGGGTACAAATTAGAACACTCCTTTGTGCCCAGGGCTGGAGTTTGCGTATACGTCAGAGACGACATCTGTCTTCGACGCCTAGGCAGTCTTGAAGGTACGGACCTGTCCATCCTATAGCTGCGCGTAGACAGCGACGAACATCCCCGCGTCTAGGGGTGGCTCTATAGGTCCCACAGCGGTAATGCCACCACAGACCGACTCATTGACCACGTCCAAATAGCTGCAGACTTCGTGCTATAACAGGTCCCATCCGCAGAGATCGTGATACTCGGTGATTTTAACGCCCACCACGCTGAATGGCTCGGTTACCGTTTAACCGGTATATATGCGGGTAGATCTGTCTATGACTTTGCCTTGGCATATGGTCTAACACAACTGGTTACTTCGCCTACGCGGATCCCAGATGTGGAAGGCCATGTACCTTCCCTGTTGGACCTTCTGCTGACCTCTCATCCGAACGAATATCAGGTCTCCGTCGATGCCCCTCTGGGCTCTTCGGACCATTGTCTGATCCGGAGTATGGTGTCACTCACGCTCCAATCGCAGTTGTGATCTGCAGCTTGCCGCCGTGTTTGGCACTATAGGTCAGCCGATTGGGATGGGATGCGGTCTTTTTTTGCATCCTACCCTTGGGGGCGGGTTTGCTTCTTGCCGGAAGATCCCAGCGTTGTTGCCGATTCTGTTGCAGATGTGGTACTTCAGGGTATGGAACGTTTTATTCCATACGCTGTGGTGCCCATCGGAAGCAGATCCCAGCCATGGTTTGGTCGCTCCTGTAAAATAGCATCACGCTATAAAGCAGGAGTGCTACCGGGCCTGGGCTGACGCATCAACGTCTCGGGATGTAAACACCAGCACACTTAAAAAGAAGTATAATTCCGCCTTCAGGTCCTTCAAAAGCGTCATTGCCAAGACAAGGTCTGAGCACATCGGCAGAATTGGCGAGAAGCTAGTTCGCCTTCCTTCGGGAACCCGTGCATTCTGGTCTCTCGCCAAGGCTATCCAAGGGAACTTCTGTCAGCCATCTCTTCCATCTCTGCACAGAGAGGACGACTCACTGGCCCATGCCACAAAGGAGAAAGCCGCACCGGTTTTAACGCGTCTTTTCCGGTACTCCTACTCCCAAGGCGTAGTCCCGAATTCATGGAAGACTGCTTTGGTCCACCCGATCCCTAAAAAAGGCGACCGCTCAGACCCGTCCCACTACAGGCCTATCGCCATCACCTCCGTGTTCTCCAAAATAATGGAATCCGTTATAAACTGCCATATACACACTCTTCTATAAAAAAATATATACGTGATGAGCTTCCCCCCCCCCTCGTCTTAGCGGGTTTAACAACCGTGGCTTGGTCACCCACGGTGACTTAAAAGGAACCCACATGGCTAACCCGAAAGGTAGGGCCTGAGGTGGCTACTGACTAAGCAATATAATTATAGAAACATTTCACATATAGATGTTCCATTTAACAGACAGACAAAATCCGAATAGCCCCTTCAGCTCAATAAAAAGCATTTACTTGGATATTACTGACAGACACTGCAATTTCATGTATATATGTATGTATGTATAGGTTAATCATATTGCCGTGTAGAAGTTAAGAGTATCCCCATTTCGTCCCATGGCTGTCGTAAAAGGCGACTGTGGCAAATGTAAGCCACCTGGCCTCCGGTAGATGGCGGTATATCCATCTCGTTTACGCCCGACGTAAAATTCCTACACTGGTGACGGCGAGCAGCGTCAAAAGTGCGAGACGTCTGGTGCTGCGGTTGCCATTCTGCATGTCAAGCGTGGCGATTTAGGTAAATCCTTCCAACAGAGAACCCCATGTCCACTAACTGGCAATAAGCCTCTTCCTTTACTAACCACACAGGAGATGACAGGACAAGTTGGATAAGATCGCTCGTGTTGAGTTGCGGCGTCGACGGCCGTGGGTTCGAATCTCGCAATAAACAAGCAAAACAATTATTTGTAGGGCATATTAAACTATTTATGTTGCTTACAAATTACAATTTTGAATTTAGTTTTTTTTTTTAACGTTACCCCCACACTAGGATTTTCTCCTGTATCGTGGAGGCAGTTTACAAACACAAATTGCACAAGGACAAATATACAGACCCGGAACAATTATTTGTAGGCCATACAAATACTTATTCCGTGCGGGATTCGAACCGCCGCAGCATTTCATTTCAAAGCCACTGCGCCACAGAGTTAAAATTAGAAGTTACTATTGCAAATTACTAAAAATTTATATACCCTCCTTGTTTTCGCTGCAACCTTCTAAAAACAAAATGTTTGCCTTTTTCTCAGCATCGACTAAAGACAAAGAGTAGCTCAAAGAGTTTCTGAGTAAAACATAAAAAAGAGCGGCATTTACCTGGTCCCAAATATTCTTTCTTATTATTTCTGGTTCTTGGCGGTCAGATCTTGCTGATTTTGGGTTATAGTCAGGAGGATGGTACAGCATATCGTAGGCACAAAGACTAACTGTTTGTGGTACGTATTTAGTATTAAAATACGTCTCTTTAGATACGGGTATCACCATTTGAGTAGTCATGCGTTCTTCCCGCGCAAAAGACATTTTGATTTATGAAATTTACTTTTTATTATACATAATATTATTAAATTATCATGATAAAGAAATAAAGATTTTTGATTCTGTTGTATTAAAATTTTCTGCTTCTCTGTTTTATTTAAATAAAACAATTTTAATGTTTTATGACAGTTGACATTGACGGCCTGTACTATGGTTGTGCCCAAGCAAAGAGAATATAATCACTACGTATGTGCCCAAAGAGTACAATTAATTATCAAATTACAACTTTTGTATATTATGTTGTTTCTATTGTTATAAAGGAGTGAATAAAAAGTTATTATTAAGTTAATATGCCCATGTTCAGCTGTGGACTTTTACGGACCGGTAGAGAGAAAGAGAATTTTATGATCACTGTTTTATTTTAAATGTATAAATTTTAGGTAATTCAAAGGTTTTTAAACCAATCTAAACAAGTACTTGACTAATATTCCATCCGATATTTAGGTATTAACCTCGAGGGTCCTGGGGTACTCGAGCGAGTACATTAAAGTCAAAAAATTTACACTCATCAAATTTATTTCATTTAAATGTTTACGCGCTTGATCGTACGCCACATAGTAAGAGCATATCGGTAAAAATAATTAAGGCCTGTAAAAACCAATCAGCGATCAGTGTGTCCACAAAACCTTGCCTTTGCAGTCAGAATACAGCAATGGGTAAGTATAATCCAAGAAAATCATAATTATGTAAACATATATTTTTAATTATATTTTTAATTTATGACAGTTGTGTAGATAAAGAACTTTAATAATATAAACAGATCTTGTTTTTGATAATAATTTCAAGAAATGTTTCTAAATTTCCATGTAAGTTTATGTCCTCATCAAAGGTCATTCGGTCTCAGTAACAATACATTTCTATGTTCTCATGGGAGTACTGTCTATTTATTGACTTGATTTTATTCAGTTCTTTTTCGTTCGTTCAGACGGGATAACAGATAAATACATCTTAAGTGTTCTAAATAAATCGGGGGCTCTATATGAAGGTAAAAAAGAAATGTCATTAGCTTATATGCAATAAATGAATTATGAATTATCGAAATCGAAAATCAACCGTTATCTTCAAGTAGAGGTGATGAAAGCGAAGCCATTGAGAAACTTTGTAAGTATCAGAATAATGCACCGATATGGGAGACGTTGATTTAGTAGTTCAATTGCTGGAAGTGTGTTCATCTAGAGCAGGGTTTCCCAACCTTTTTTTGACCAGCGACCATTTTAATTTTTTGTAGTTAGCAGAGACCGGACCACAAGGTGAAAGAAAAACTGTGTTAATATAACAATAAATTATAATCACAGATTTTAACATAGTTATACAAAAAAAAAGTTAAAATTACAGCCTATATACGTCCCACTGCTGGGCACAGGCCTCCTCTCATTGCTGAGAGTGTTTTGGGGCAAGGAAATGTAATGTTGTAATTTAAAGTTTTCAACCATTCTATTGTTTTCTTTTTAACTTCTATGCTATGCAATGGATATATGCTTAAGATTTTATTTATTTTATTATTTAAATATACTGCCCTTTTCTCATATTGTACAGAAGCAAATGTCGTTTTACAGCGATCGGCATATAGAACTAACTCGTTTCTTCTTTTGTTAGTCTTGTCATGTTCATACCTAGTAGATGTGTGAATTTTAAGCAATAAGAAGAAACTTACAGCGAGCGCTAACCATTTGAGCTACCACGGCTCTAATACTGTTAATGAATGCTTCTTTTAAGTTTATTATCGAAAGCGGAACAGTCACGACTGAAGTAGGTCCATTGAGATATTTTAAATCAAGGGCGGGAGAAGAAATGGTTGTGGAAAACACTGTAAGTTCTGATGAAGAAATCAATGCATGCTCAGGGGAGTAACCGACATCCAAAAAACAAAAAACGTGATTTCGAGGTTGTTCTAAAAATGTAAAATGTTCCAAATGTGGCATATGTTTATGTTTAATTATACATACAAACTGCTGCCTAAACGTTCATACTTATTTTTAAGTGACTATATTTTAACATTATTTTGCAATTATGTAGGATATACCGAAATCTTTTGTTCAGTAAATATTTAAATAGTAATTTTAGTTTACGCAAAATTTTTATGTAACGTTGATCTCAAGAATGAAGTTCTATATAATCTAATTAAATAAAAAATACACTAGCTAGTTGTTACTAGGTTTTATATCTACAACAAAATATACTTTTTCCAAAGAGTGATTATTAATTTAATGAAAATAAAGTGTTTTTGCTATTAAATGTAAAACTTATAATTAAAATAACAAAAAGACTAATAAAAGGTGATTAAAATTAATAAACCGATTTTATTTAATACTCTCAGAGCGTACTCGCACGAGGAACAAGTCTTCATGTCCTCAGTCGAGAACATAAGGAAAAACTTCAGGAAAAACTACAGGATTTTTTAATTATTTTGCCAGATAATTTGATATACTTATAACACAAGTATACATATAAAAATATTGAATTTTTGAAACAAAATTTTTCTCCGGACTCTAAAGGTTAATGTGGAGCGTTCGCAGTCGTTCGCCGAGCGTCAATGTCAATGCTCTTCGCTAGCGTTCATTTTATGTGGGCACAACGGCGCAGGTGGCAAGAGTGAGGTGTCCATCAGCGAATCTCACTCACCTGTCTTCGCTCGCTTTCTTTCGTAGTACTGCGTGGCGTGGATTCTCTTAGGTAGAGTGTAAATTCTATGGCGTGTATCTAAAGTAGTTCTACATAACCTAATTAATAGAATCAGGCGTTACTTTGCAGAAATCCATTATATAAAAGCTTTTACAAAAATTTACTTCGCAAATATCCGCGTTATAAAATAAAATGATGTGTCTTACCTAGTATGAAGAAGCACCTCCCGCCCTCCCTCAATTGCGTGCACTATCCCCGTCACCACTAATCCCAGCACCGCTACTTCCAACACCACTACACTAGGCAAGACACACCACTGACGATAATACGACACGTGTGATGTTGTCACGACGGTGGCTAACCGCTAAGTGGCTTAGCGGTTAGCCACCGTAGAGTCTATATCACCTGAGGATGCCTCGTGTAGAGGCGAAACACGTGTCGTATTATCGTCAGAGGTGTGTCTTGCCTAGTGTAGTGGTGTTGGAAGTAGCGGTGCTGGGATTAGTGGTGACGGGGATAGTGCACGCAATTGAGGGAGGGCGGGAGGTGCTTCTTCATACTAGGTAAGACACATCATTTTATTTTATAACGCGGATATTTGCGAAGTAAATTTTTTTAAAAGCTTTTCTACATAACCATCTATACAAATAAATAAAACTGTAGTGTCAGTTTGTAATGTTAAAATAACAGCTTTTTACTAAACGCATATGAATGTATATACGGTACTTATAACAAAAACACAATTTTAAAATGTTTGTCTGTCTGTCTGTCGGTCTGTCTGTCTGTTTGTTCTGGCTAATCTCCGAAACGGCTGCATCGATTTCGACGGGACTTTCACTAGCAGATAGCTGATGTTCTAAGGAGTAACTTAGGCTACTTATATTTCAGAAAAAGAATTAGGATTCTGAGCTATATAATTAAAACTCTAAATTACACGCGGGTGAAGTCGCGGGGAAGAGCTAGTATAAAATATATGGGCTAAATTCGTGGCCTTCGTCAGCTTATTGTAGTGCTAGCATTATGAGCATACTTTACTTGATCTAGATATCATTAGTTATCTACTAGATTTAATAAAGATATCTTTTCACGGGATGTTACTCCACCGAGTTGCAAATGATGGTTACATTAATGAACAGGTCTTTAAAATAAAATGGAATGAAAGTGAACGCATTACTTTCATTCCATTTTATTTTAAAACATAATTTATATTAAAACATAAAACGACAGTGATGGTTTATCAAAGTGAAGAAAGTAAAATGATATATGAAATAAGAATAGAAGGGGAGTTGATTGAGCAAGTGGATGAGTTTGTGTATTTGGTACGTGTATTTAGCAAGCATGGTAGATATGATAAGGATATAGAACGACGAGTGAACGCAGGAAATAGAGTAAATGGGGCTCTATACTCTATTGTGGATAGTCAGAATGTGTCAATTCATAATATTGTGTTAGTCCCTACTTTAATGTATGTTAGTGAAAGTTGGGTGTGGCAGAAGAAGCACGAGAGTAGAATAAATGCTGTAGAAATGCAGTCATTAAGGAGTAGGTTAGCGCTGAATATGAATGAGAGGGTGAGAAAAGTGTGGTTTGCAAGATGATGTTGTGACCAGGATTAAGAAAGGAATGCTTCGGTGGTTTTGTCATGTAGACATAATTAACGAGGAAAGAGTTATAGAGCAACTCTATATTGCAGACGTGAACGGCAGAGTAGGAAAGGGACGCCCTAGACGAAGGTTCATCGCCCAAATTGGCGATATATTGAAAATGTGCCAGATTAGGAGTACCCTTAACCGACGAGCGTGTATGCATACATATATGAATATAAAAGAGGCGAGAGAGGTGTGTCAAGATCGTGCTAAATGGAAGTCCGTAGTATTTGCCTACCCCTCTGGGTGAGTGGCTTGAGTGTTTATGTATTATATATGTTACTCCGCCATGTTGGCAGCCATCCATGCCATCGTTAAACTTTATGTAGGTATTATTAAAATATATCAAGTACGTAGACTTTCGCCTCGCTGATGTTTCCGCTATGCCTAACTTTAAATTAACACAGGCACCAAAGAGTATAAATTCACTATGTTTTAACAGGCACTTATATTTAATTTGTCATCCTGACAATCAATTAAATATAATAATGAACTTGTCTATCAACAATATGGAGAGTAGGATATTTTTCGTGTGAAGTATTACTAACTTGTCAAAATTAAACCTCATAATCACAATTCATGCGGTGGTTACTCGAGATTCTTATCACGATCGCAACAAAATTCTCGGAATGGACTATTACAGTGTCGAATCCGATATACTTGGTCAGTTCTGAAATAGTCTAATTTTATTTTATTATTTTCTAGTTTTGTTTACTT